CAATCGCGGGAACGGGATTTTGAAGTTCATGGCGGACTCTGACTACGGAATGGTAAAGTGAAAGAAATGTCACTGCCTCGAAAGGAGCTACACCAGGAATGCCCGTGCGATCGCGTACGTACGCGCGAGATCCAATCGTTGTTTGTGGGTCGTGGTAGAAGCAAGAGTACATCAATTCCATTCCTGCACTCTTCACCGTTGTGAGTTGTACAGAAGCCTCGATAACGTCAATAATTTCCGCGCGAATCAACGACAACCGAGGACGACTCCTGCCGCCCATGAATCATATTACGTTCAATTCCGGCAAAAGGGACTGCACTCATCCTTGAATGGAGAGCACCTTGAACACTGCTGTACACTGCTCAGAGAGCTTGCACAGAGCAGAAAGTCGGTATTGGACATGTCAGCGGCCATTTGGTTTGAAAAATGCGGGAATTTCAGCACGCCTGCTGCAATCTGATTGGTCAAAAGAAGATGAAAAGTTCGATCTCGCCATTTTCAATTGCCGACGCAAGCGCCGCCACCTGCCATGCTCGGACGACTCGTACGGCGACATGGTCCTCGACGAGGCTGGTAGACATTGGGTATGTGTAGGCTGCGCTCAGCCTCGGCGCCAACGCAGTCCTTGGCGCCTGCCCGTACCAGAACTACGCGTCCACGTTCACGGTCAGCTACTGTGAGCAGCCCGATGCGATTCTCTGCATTGTCGACAGCAACTGCAAGGTACCTTCGATCATGCAGCCTCGATGCGATGCATGTGGTCTTGTAGCCGACGGTGATGTACACAAAGAAGATGGACGTCTTCAAGGACTCGACGTTGACCGACCAAATCATCATCAAAGGTAGCGCTGCCGCGAGTGTCCCCACGCCCATGCGGTTCTTATGGTAGACAAGGCGCAGTACCTTGCTCAGCTCCCGCGACTTCGCAACACTTACATGTACGACGTCTACTCTACAGTCCCATGGCAGGACTCACTCTCAACCACTGGTAGTCAATTCTTTGGCTCGGTGCGCGAGGTTGGTGACTTGTCCAACGACTCGATGGTCGCGCTGCTGTATGCTCTCATACATGCACGTCTTGGCTACTCTCTGACGCGGTCGTAGGGACTTTCAAGGCAACCCTGGCATCGACCTCTCCAAGGCTGCGTTTCCATCGTCGATGACCCGCTTGTTGCCACGCCTCATTTCGTCGCGTCTTCTCATGAAGCTGAGTAGGTCGCTTGCGCAGTGCCAGCTTTCGACGCTTCCGACAACGGTCCCGTACGGCCAGCTCTCGGAATTGTACGTTTCGATTCCCCAAAAGTGACGAATCGAATCGAGTTTTTGTGTAGCTTTGGGTGGGACAACAATTTTACGTCACTCGACAATATTGATTTCCGCAACGCGGTCGAAATGTATGACGGCCACCGGCGCTGGAATTGTACTGATACATTGATATGTAGCAAATTCAACAGCTGTCCGCGCCTGACGACGTTCAACAACGTGTCGGTCTCGACTCGACTGAGCAAATTGTGCGACTTTGCATCATTTCCACGTGTCAACGACTCATTTCTCAATTTGTTGTAGCTACTTTGACGACTCGAATTTCACGACGTTTCTCGTGGACCAGCCGACGTACACGGCGCTGCAGTCCGTCCCGACGTTTGCTGTCGGCGGCATCGATGTCTCGGCTTCGTGCAAAGCGCCCAACACCATCCAACCTCTCAAGACCAAGTACTCGGTGTGCGTCATGCCAGGTATGCAACCAGAATCACACTCAGTTCTGATTGGTGATGCAGCGTCAACTCCGACGATGGCGCCCGTCTCGTCGGCGCCCGGGACATCGACACCGGCGGTGACGTCATCGACGACGCAGACGGCGTGGATTGTGGGGGCGACGCTCGGGGCTGTCGCCGTCGTTGGGCTGTGCGTCGCCGCCGTTGTGTGCTTTCGCCGCAAGCTCCGCGCGGCCAATCCGTATGCTGAATGTTCCCTTCGAGACACGGCTGCAACGGTGACGTTTCTGTCCATAGGGCGACGCAATCAACCATCGACCGGAGCTACGGGCGCACGGAAACGATGGCGGGGGACACGTCGTCGACAGGACACATGGTCAGCGCCGGCTTCAACATGGAGGTCTTCGCTTTTTGCTATCCGCTAGACAATCCCATTTGGACATGGTTAGGACCTCGAGCTGCTTCGACTCGACGAACGCGCCCTCGTGAAACTTCAGTCGATTGCCAAAGGCGCGTACGGCGAAGTCTACCGCGGCGAGTACAAAGGTTTGTAGTTTCAACTTCTCAACCCTGCACCTAACCCAGTACGATTCTAGGTCAAGAGGTTGCCATCAAGTGCATGCTCCAAGGCAAGAACTCCCGCGACGACATTATCAGCCTCATTGACGAAATCAAGCTCACGGCCAAGTACATCGTCTCGTCCAACATGCAGCGTTACATGTCTCGCTCACACCTTGGACTTGCATTAGGCTCGACTGCCCGTACGTTGTCAAGACGATCGGTGCGAGCTGGCGCGTCCCGTCCGAGCTGCAGATGGTCCTCGAGTGGATGGACCGTGGTGACCTCAAGAGCGTGTTGGAGAAGACCAAGCCGAGCGTGCCCGGCGGCGTCTCGGCGACGTTTCCGTGGGAAGAAAAGTTTCAGACCATGCTCGCGATCGCCGACGGTCTCGTCTATCTGCACTCGCTCGACGTCATCCACCGCGACCTCAAGTCCCGCAACGTGCTCATGGACTCGCAAAAGGTATCCTGTGATTATAGAGAGTTTTGACTCTCAACAGTGGAGAATAGGGTACCAAGCTCACCGACTTTGGCGCGTCGCGTGAAGTGACGACCGAGACGATGACGATCGGTGTCGGCACCTACCGCTGGATGGTGCGCTTGTCGTCGTCGATGCGCAGTATATTTATCGATTGTGTAGGCGCCCGAGATCCTCCAGGACAACCACTACACGACGGCGGCCGACATTTACTCGTTCGGGATGGTCATCTCGGAGCTCAACACGCACTACATTCCGTACTCGGACATGCGCAACGACAAGGGTACGCATCGACTCTCCGTATCAACGTATCAAGTCGGACATGGCGTGTAGGCAATGCGCTGGTGGACACGGCGATCATGAGTCGCGTGATCCAAGGCACGATCCAGCCGACGTTTACGGCGTCGATTCCGTCGTGGGTGCGGGTGCTAGCGCTCGAGTGCCTCCGGCCGCATCCCGAAGACCGGCCGAGCGCTGCCCGCATCGCCTATACCATTCGGCAGCAGCTCAAGGTCGGCCTCTAAGCAATGTGGCGACGCTAACCAAATCATGATACGTGTGCCTCTGCGCCTGTCTTTTGGGTGTGGCTGGCGCTTCGTAGTCAACGACAACTCATCTCGGCTCGCTCCATTAGCTTCATTCAACTTTTGCGACGCTGCGGCTCGTACACTATAGCCACTGGATGGGTCATTGGATTGATCTCTCGTGGGTTGGTCGTTGAATTTTGAAGCGGCCTGCCAAATTGCTGGAGTCGCAGCAGGCTACATTGTGCTGGTGTGAAGGCGTCTGTCTGACGCGCGCTTCGTCGATGGCTCGCAGCGCGCGCCCTGTCGCAGAACGTACCCGTGGCAATCAACACCTGATCCGACATCCGATCACTAATCAACACCGCTAAAGCACCGCGAGACGGCAAAGGCCCGGAGAAGGTACATGCAGGCCAGCTCCTGAGCGCGATTGAACCGGGCTCTGGACGCGACTGTGCTTACATGTGCACCCCTTGTGGCATGTATAGTACCCTCGATGGTCCGTACAGTGAAATTGGTGAATCGGATTGGACAGTTGATTTGGGTTGAGAGTGGTATTGTAGCAGGGTTGTAGAGTTGTCGGATCGTATGACGATTGGTTGGTGGAGCAGCACGCGGCGCCTCGTGTGCGCTGGTGCACGCGGCGAGAAGTGCTGTGTGGACACAGTGTCTTCCTACTCATACTTGCTCGTAAAACGGCAAATGTTGTCTGCTCGACGTATACCGGTACTGTACCACGTGTATATACCGTAGCTGCATCCGACGATGACATGTGGTCGTCGACGCGCAGGGCCATCAGATGCTCGGTTCGGAACCCACTGGCTACGACGCCATCCGAGCGTTGGTCACACGACATTGCCATTACCGTTTCTCGATCGACGTTCGAACATTTCTCGAGTCGCCGTGATGCTGCCGCTCGTCGCTGCCCTGGTACACGCACGTCGCCCCCCAGAAGCTTCTTATGCATCGAGGTAGGTTGCTGGCCTCGCCGCCCATGTTGCCGCCGCCGACTGCCCGTACGGGGCGTACGCGTCGACCTTTTCGAGCTCGCTCTGCACGCAGCCCGGTGCTGTCTTCTGTTCTGTCGACAGCTCGTGCAAGGTACGCCGCCGCCGCCAATGGCCCAAGGTCCTATTCGATTGGCGCTAGCTCAACAAGATGTACTGGACCAAGAACGACGTCAAGAAGGACTCGACGCAAACGAATCTGCTCGTCATCAACGGCACCTGTAAGGACAATAAGAACGTAGAGGCCTCATCCCATTTGCGTAGACAAGGCGCAGTACCTCGCGGAGCTTCCCAACCTGAGCCAAGTCTACATGTAATACGACGCCAATGCCATCCAGCGAGGCTCACCATGAGGTGTCTAGCCAATTCTACAACTCGGTCCGCGCCGTGGGCGACTTGTCCAAGGACACCAACGTCGCGCTTCTGTACGACCACGAACGCGTCGACGCGGTCGCTTATCGTATTTTGTACTAGGGATTTTGAGGCCAACAAGGGCATCGATTTGTCCAAGGCTGCCTTTTCGCCGATCGTCACACGTTTGTACGAACACTTCCGGCTGCTGCAAAGAGGGGTCTTGGCTCACGAAGCGGTGTAGGTCCATTGCGGCGTGCCAGCTCCCGACGCTCCCGACGACGATCCCGTTCGGCCAGCTCTCGGAATTGTACGTTTGCGTTCCCAAGAAAGCAGGAGGAATCATGAATTGGATGGTAGCTATGGCTGGCAAAACAACTTTACCACGATTGAAAACGTGGATTTCCGCAACGCCGTTGAAATGTACCACGTGCAAAATCGAATCGTCGGCTCACTCGACATTGTCTGTAGCAAGTTTAACAGCTGCCCATACCTCAAGACGCTCTCGAACCTGACCGTCTCGTCAAAACTGAGCAAATTGTACGCTAAAGAGTCGTGCTCTCTTGACTCATGTCTGGTCTAGCTACTTTGACGACTCGCATTTTACAACGTTCCTCGTTGACCAGCCGACGTACACGGCGCTCCAGGCGGTGCCGACGTTTGCTGTCGGCAGTATCGATGTCTCGGCTTCGTGCAAGGCGCCCAACACCATCCAGCCGCTCAAGACCAAGTACTCGGTCTGCGTCATGCCAGCGTCGGGTACGGCAGTCGATAAATTTCCCATCTCATCATTTAACGCCGTAGCGACAGACGAGTCTGGCTCGTCGTCCAACACAGGCGTCATCGTCGGTGTCGCGGTCGGCGCAGTCGTGCTTGTGCTCGTCATCGTCGGCTGCGTGCTGTATCGCCGCAAGAAGAACGCTGCCTCCACGTACTACAGCCTTCGCGACGTCCTGGCCCTGGTCTTATGCGTCTCTACGCAGGGGCACGAGCCACAACGGGTACACGGCCCACAACACGACGACCCAGGGTATGACGACGTCGACGGGCCAATACAGCATGGCTTTCAACATGGAGGTACAGGCTCCGTCAAGAGAGTCCAAGGATGCTAATGATAAAGTAGGATCTCGAACTGCTTCGTCTCGACGAGCAAGCGCTCACCAAGATCCAGTCGGTGGCCCAAGGCGCGTACGGTGAAGTCTACCGCGGCGAGTACAAGGGTACCTCCATCCGATCCCACACGTTGCGAGTCTCATATCGTTTGCGCCTTAGGTCAATTGGTCGCTATCAAGTGCATGCTTCAAGGCAAGAGCTCCCGTGCCGATATTTCCAACCTCATTGACGAAATCAAGCTCACGGCCAAGTACGTTAAACATGCTTCTGGCGACATGTCTCGCTCACACCTCGGACTTGCATTAGGCTCGACTGCCCGTACGTTGTCAAGACGATCGGTGCGAGCTGGCGCGTCCCGTCCGAGCTGCAGATGGTCCTCGAGTGGATGGACCGCGGGGACCTCAAGAGCGTGTTGGAGAAGACCAAGCCGAGCGTGCCCGGCGGCGTCTCGGCGACGTTTCCGTGGGAAGAAAAGTTTCAGACCATGCTCGCGATCGCCGACGGTCTCGTCTATCTGCACTCGCTCGACGTCATCCACCGCGACCTCAAGTCCCGCAACGTGCTCATGGACTCGCAAAAGGTATCCTGTGATTATAGAGAGTTTTGACTCTCAACAGTGGAGAATAGGGCACCAAGCTCACCGACTTTGGCGCGTCGCGCGAAGTGACGACCGAGACCATGACGATCGGTGTCGGCACCTACCGCTGGATGGTACGCTTGTCGTCGTCGATGCGCAGTATATATCGATTATTCTGTAGGCGCCCGAGATCCTCCAGGACAATCACTACACGACGGCGGCCGACATTTACTCGTTCGGGATGGTCATCTCGGAGCTCAACACGCACTACATTCCGTACTCGGACATGCGCAACGACAAGGGTACGCATCGACTCTCCGTATCAACGTATCAAGTCGGACATGGCGTGTAGGCAATGCGCTGGTGGACACGGCGATCATGAGTCGCGTGATCCAAGGCACGATCCAGCCGACGTTTACGGCGTCGATTCCGTCGTGGGTGCGGGTGCTGGCGCTCGAGTGCCTCCGGCCGCATCCCGAAGACCGGCCGAGCGCGACTCTTGTTGCGCACACGATCCGGCAGCAGCTCAAGGTCGGCCTGTAGTCGACAAGCGTACACAATACAAGCGTGCTTGTTTTCATGGAAGTCTCTTTTGATGGCAAGAAACGTGACAAGCACAAGGTGGAGTCGTGCTCAATCACTGTATCCTGAGCGCATTGGTGGTGCACAGAGGTTGATTGACGGATCTTCGGGCGAGCTTAGCAGCACGGCGGCGACCAGAACTAATTACTGCGCTTGTCTGCCTGCTATCATGATTTTCCACGGGCAAAGCCAAGTTTCGACTTGAAAAATGTAGGGAAATGCGTTGGACCGCTCCTTTTGCGCAGAGGAACGTATCAAGCTGACTCTTGGACAAGCATGAGTTGTCTGCACATACGCCTTCTTCTTCATCGTCTTGACCACGCATGCGCGCTCTCGACCTGATCCGAGACGCGCGAGCCGAGTCGACCAAAACGAGCCCGCGCAGCTCTCTTTGGGATCAGATCGTCGCCACATCCAACGAATAGATGGCGCAGGCGACTGGACATCCGAGTAACGTTAGTGGACTTGAATCGGAGCCGCACTTCTCACCCGTGCTCACGCGGTCCACCTGATTGCGCCAACAAATCACGTAGGAAAGGACGCTGCTTGGCGCGGGGTAGTTGCTGCTACCTACTACCTATTGTTCGTCCCTGGCTTGGCGCCTGTTAATCTTGGCAAAACCAAATGGCTGGTTTTTGAGCAGGTGCACATCCTGAATTTACAATTGAAGCTAAAAGAGTCATAAGCCAACCAACGAGTGGCATATGAAAAATACCTTTATAATTGTAGCTCACAACGAAATCTCTGGATTTACTCGACGGCGCTGTGGGCGGCAAGCCGCTCTCGCATTTTCTCGACCATTTGCCGCTGGGTCTCGATGCCAAGCTGGAGTCGTGTCAGCTGCGCACCCATCTCTGCATCGCGCGTCGCTATTAGCGCGCGCTCTTCGTCGCTGCTGTCGTCGCCCATATCATCGGACGTCTCTTGACTCTCATTCTCGCTCGACGGCTGCGTCTCGTGCGAGTCGCGGGCTGCGCTGTCGGACGGCGCTAACCCTACCCCCATTGCGTGAGACATGTCATGAGGTCGGGGAAGCAAGTACGGCGCTGAGAGGCCGCACTAGTGGACGACCGGTACGTCCGCGCCTGGAGAAAGCAGCGTTTGCAAAACTCTTCGGGGGTTGCCTTCATGTTGCCGTCGGGCAACGTGAGGACGCGTGGGATCGTCACGACACACTTGCCACACATGCTCTACATCCCGGTTCATGAGGCGATTGAGCTAAGTTGGCTGTGTATGAAGTCGTACGTCTCGGCAGCCCCAGCACTCGTGGCGGGCGCGGAGACCGCGGAACGACGCGGCGCACGACGAGCACGCGCCGGATTTTCTACCAAAGTTTGAAAATCCCGAAATCGGTCATAAAATCATGAAAAATGACGCACCGCGGGAGCGAGACGGGCTTGGTCGCGGCCACGTGCTCGAGAAGGCGCTTCTGCTGCAAGTAGCGCGCATTGTCGTCGCTAATGTGGCTGTAGTTCATCGCTGTCTTGTTGAAGACGAGCGCAGGCATGTTGCCGAGCGGGTTGGCTTGGAGCAACTGGACCGACTCGACGCTACCGTCCGCCGCCTCGGTGTACACCATGATGGCCTTGATGTAGAAGCGTGTCGCGTCGTCAAAGGGCGGCACTTCATCGAAATCCATCGACTCGCGCACACAGTAGACGCCGCGGTGGCCGCGCTGGTTGACAAACGACCCCGTACACTAAACACAGAGATGGCGTCGCGATAAAGGTAGGAGAGAGATAGGATAGGAGAGAAAGGAGTGCGACGTACCTCAATGTACGTCGTGTCGCGGGGCTCAAAGACACCGTTGAGTGGCATACTCATCTTCTTGTAGCGGACGCCAAAGTGCAAGAATGGATCCTCTGGCGTTCGCTCTTTCGTGACATTGAGGACGCGCGCGTCCAACATGTTTTCACCGTAAAACAGCGTCTGCTGGAGACGAAAGTCGGCCTCCGTTTCGACGTAGACGAGCTCGATGTAGTCGTCGAGGCTCATGCCGGCATCGCTGATGACCATAAAGTCCCGGTACGCAGACGTCGCGTTCTTGCGAGAGAGCACTCTTGACGTTGGCGACTCGCGCGCGAGCTTGTACCCGGCATGGTAGGCGTCAATGAGGCGTGTCTCGGGCGAACTCTCGGTGACTTCCACGATGAGCGACCGCAGGCGGGCGTCGATCGCGGCGGCTTTGGCCGACGGCAGCTGGACCAACATTGAGTGACCGTGTAGAAAACAGCAAAGTCCACACTGGGAAGCAGACTGCCGCAGCAGGTGACGTGCGCCAGCATCTGATCGGCGGCGGCTGAAAAAGCGCGCGTCCACCTTCGACTTGTGACTACGCTACGCTTACACTATTTCGAGTGTGACAAGCACTGGCGCCACGGATCTCATCTTGTACACTGTCTGTCTTGAAGCACTGTTTTGTACAGGCACGACCGATAAGGATACCAACGACGCCTGCTTGCACACTGCGTAAGCGATTCGATCGATTCGATCGCATGGGCCGTGGACATCAGCTGTGACTGGTGTGATCTGAGCACAGATCCGCCTGTCGCGAGGTGAGCGGTTCGGACAGCAACAAACACCATGGTTCTCCCGCGAGATGCACCTCTCCTGAGTGTTCTTTTTCCTTTGAAACGTGTCATAGACCAAAGGTGCATCATTTTACAGCCTGGAGCTGCGAGAGCATGAATGAATTGGGACAGCGCAGACAATATATAAAATAGCAATGTACAAGAGCTGCTGAAGTCTCGGGCTCTAGACCTTGGGGATCGTTGGCTGGCGTTGTCGCTCTTGCACGAGTAGCCAAATCAACAAGAATAGACGTCTCTTTTGCTGACAACGAAACAGTGTCTTGTTGACATGATCACACTATTTAGCGCGAAGACACACGAAATCACTTCGAACTTCGAGTGATGTCGACCCCGTGAGCCG